AGAGAGAGAGAGAGAGAGAGAGAGAGAGAGAGAGAGAGAACGTTGCTATGTTTGCATGCTGTAAGTCATCTGCCAACTCAAATTAAAAAATCCCATGGCTTTCTCTGGGTACACAGTACGTACTTTGAAGTCTCGTTGCTTTTCAAAGACCGCGATGATGGGCTTGTTGACATCCGCGATGAGCTCATAGCGTTCAGACTTCCAGAGAAACTCCACACACATGTAGAGCTGTTCCACCAGGATATTCTGCAATTTCCCCAGAGGAAAAAGAGCTTTTTAGGTGATCGAAGATGCAGTTCATCCCTGAAACTTGGTTTTGAAGCTATTTTGGTCTTGCGCGGTTTCTGGATTCCTGATCTTCATGATTGAGATTACAGCCCACCGTGGGATTGCTGTACTCCTTTGGATTGCCCCTTTCTCCTCATCGTTACTTAACCATGCAGTGGCTATGCTGAGTTCAGACTCTTTTAGTTCGTTCCAATGCCATTGTCACTGCTTAGCTCCCATCCTTGCCCCTTCACTCCCAACACGCAGCCCCCGACATGCAGCCGTTTTTTGCAAACAGGTCTCTCTCTCCAATGGCTGCTCGTCAGCGATATTTCCTTTTGAAACCTAAGTCTGCTCACAAGGGTTCCACCCCCATAAACATTTGTGGAAAGCCAGTTTATACCAACACCATCTGATTTCTCCAGACTGAAATTCAAGATGGTCTGCGATCCCGTTTTGAGCATTGTGCCTTGGTTTTCCACTCTGGCTCCAACTTTCTACCTCATTCCATCCTTAGAATGCTTCTGTCCTCTAACGGCTGCCCATGCTCCTGATGCCCCTACAGGAACACTCCTTTCCTACGTGTGCCTTGGTGTCCTATCTCACAGGAGCACTCGTTATGCAAATATACAGTTTTACTGATGCCTTTTTAAAAATATTTATTTATTTATTTATTAATTATATATACAATATTCTGTCTGTGTGTATGCCTGAAGGCCAGAAAAGGGCACCAGACCTCATTACAGATGGTTGTGAGCCACCATGTGGTTGATGGGAATTGAACTCATGACCTTTGGAAGAGCAGGCAATGCCCTTAACAGCTGAGCCATCTCTCCAGCCCTGCTGATGCCTTTTCAACTTCATTACAGCCACTTCCATGTAAAAACCTGTCATTTTGTTAATTACAAAAAATAGAATGCCTTAGATCTTAGTTATTGGACATCTGCTTTAAACGGACTGCTTTTCATCTTGAAGACGGTCTATTTTTATTTCTAAGATTCTCAAGTCTTCAAAAGCAGGGATTATGCCTGATTTGTCTTTGTTTTCCTGCCCTTAATACAGTGTCTTTCAGAGTGGTGCTAAATCAGTTAATACGTCCAACTGTGTGAAGTTATCAATTATGAATCTCTAAAGCAGGTATATATTATTTGAATATTTCTAACAGCATCTTTTAATAAAAAGCTCTGACACACCATTTGCAGTCATTACTATAAAGGTCAATTGTATTTGATAGAGTCACATGAAGTATGCACCAAGCTAATATGGAATTGTTTGCAAAAGTGCATAAAAATACAACTCCCAGCCAGGCGGTGGTGGCTCATGCTTTTAATCCCACCACTTGGGAGGCAGAGGCAGGCAGAACTCTGCGAGTTCAAGGCCAACCTGGTCTACAGAGCAAGTTCCAGGACAGGATCCAAAGCTACAGAGAAACCCTGTCTCAAAAAAAAAAAAAAAAAATACAGCTCCCAAATTTGTTTTCTTTTTTCCACATCTATATTAATACAAAGACTTTATAAAATTAGCTAATGGACTTTTATTTCTTTGTGAAGGAAACTCTGTTTAATTCACCAGAATTGTTGTTATGTGATTTCTACTAGAAAACTGCTTTGTCATAAGAACCAACCAGCTAATATCAGAAGGCTTTCCCACAGAAATTATGAACTCCTTTAATGAGCCAAATTTGTAAATAAATAAACCTGTGAAAAAACAACTGTGATGAGCTCATAAAAAATTTAGCACCCCATCCAGGGAGTGGTGGCACACGCCTTTAATCTCAGCACTTGGGAGGCAGAGGCAGGAGAATCTCTGTGAGTTCAAGGCCAGCCTGGTCTACAGAGCGAGTGCCAGGGCAGGCTTCAAAGCAGAGAAAACCCTGTCTCAAACCCCTCCAGTCAAAAAATTTAGCGTCCCTTATTACATTTTCTCAGAGAGTAGAGTTTGTGTGTCTTACAGAAGAGCTGACTATATATCTCTGAGTAAGCGCAGTAAATCAGGTTCAGCTTAAAGTTTCAATGAAGATTATGATTTATCTATAGAATTGATGTTATTTGTGGCTATTGTGGAAGATGATGTTTCTCTGATTTCTTTCTCAGCTACTTTATCATTTGTACATAGGAGGGCTACTTTTTTGTTTTTTGAGTTGATCTTGTATCCTGCCACATTATTGAAGGTATTTAAAAGTTATAGGAGTTCCCTAGTAGAGTTTTTGGGGTCACTTATGTATACTATCATAACATCTGCAAATAGCAAAAGTTTGACTTTTTTTTTCCAATCTGAATCTCCTTGATCTTCTTTTGTTGTCTTGTTGCTCTAGCCAGAACTTCAGGAACTATGTTGAGTAGATATGGAGCGTGGGCATCCTTGTCTTGTTCCTGATTTTAGTGGAATCACTTTGAGTTTCTCTCCATTTAATTTGATGTTGGCTCTTGGCCTGCTGTATATTGCTTTTATTATAGTAGGGAGGGCATTGGACCTTCCCCAAAGCAAAGTGCTTTACCCTCTCTGAAGAGTGGATGGGGGTAGAATGGGGGGGGTAGATGGAGGAACTAGGAGGAGGGGAGGGAAAGGGAACTGCTATTGGTATTTAAAATGAAAAAGATATTTTGTTTTCTTTTTAAAAAAGAAAAGTAAAATAAATTAAATAAAAAGAAAAACAATACACTATATATTTACATATATGTGAAAAATAGAATTGATATCTGTCAAACTTGGTCTTATTTGAGCCTCAGCTTCACTTTGTTTAACAAAATCATAACGCAGGGCAACTTCATCTGACTTTTCAATGCACACAAAAGTCACAGTTCAATGCATTTTTAAACTTAATCAATGTTAGATCAATTGAGTCTAACCTCATTGTATGGTGTATCTTGCATTCCGGAATCCTCTTTCATTGCTCCTTCTTCTTTAATATTTGGGGTGATGCTCAGAAAAGCTGGCCATCCCATAGAGAACATGCCTTGGGGGAATTAAGCACAATGAAATATCACTTGAGGTGATTCATATTGACATTACAGCATGGCTTGTTTCGTGAGGTTAGTATTGGCAGTATCACAGCACACGCAAGGCACAGGATGGTTAGATAAAGCATGGTTTCTGGAGTTGCCGGTGTTCACTGATATCAGATGCACATTGCAAGAAAGGGATTATTTACTTCTCCAACTCTGAAACCTCCTAACATAAAAGCCTATTAAACATTTCAGATATATCAGTGGGAGTCGGTAGATTGATAGACTGATAGATACAAATACATGCTAATGAAGCATGTATTACCATTTTGGCATTCACACCTCAGTATCTTCCCTGTTCAATAGGTATAGCAGAGTATAGCCACTATTATTGTCAGTATCAGAGGGGGGTGTTTAAAATGCTTGAATATTGGAGAGCCGCAGAACTAACTGGGACAAGCACTGACACTTAAGTTTTATCAGTTTTCTTCTATTTGGTTGCAGATACAATGTGAAAGTCTACACTGCTCTACAGGATCTAAAGATGATAAATATCCGAGTAGGAAGGACATGCTAAATGAAGTGCTGTCTGGTGACTGGCGTATAAAAATTAGCATGTGTTAATATTAAGAAGGAATTTAGGGTGAATTTGTACCTGTGGTTTAGACCTGATCTTGTCTCCTCGATCCCCAAGAAAGAAGCCTCTCTATCTCACAGTTCATTTAAGTGATTTGGAAATTGCATTATTTGGAAATTTTACTGTAATTTCTTTAGAAAATATACACAGGTTTCAATGAACATGAACTGAATTATGCTTCTAAAAATACCGCAAATAAAAGTCCATTATCATTTTCTTTGGGTAGTTTGATTATAACTCTATACTGAGTTTTCAACAGCAATTTGCAAGTTAAAATAATGTTATCAAGTATACTGCAGTCCAAAAACTGTCCTTGAATGAACTTTTAAAGAGACTGTAGATAAAAATGTATTAATCACATTTTTACACAGAGAAACTATAGTTGTCACAAAACATTTTTTATTAGACTTTGAAGGTGGAATATTTTCAGTGAAAGTAAATAATATTGTTAATCATATGTTATAAATTGTCAGAATAAAGTATTATTGTTACTGTTATTATTATTATTTATTAATTTTGCGATGCCAGAAGTCAAACACCAAGCCTTACACTTGCTAGGCAAATACTCTATCACTGAGATACACAGTCTTATATATTTGATTGTGAACCTAGCCTTTAATGGCTGAGTCATCCCTCCAAGCCAAGATACACAGTCTTTAAGAAGTGAAATAGAGCATACCTATCATAAAGGAATATACATCTATATGAATATATATCTACATTCTTTGAATAAACTACTGCACCCACAAACTATTCTCTCCTTGCAAGTTTATATGGTTTATCAATTTCAAACTAAAACTCTAATGATGGGCCAGCATGCACATAGGTATGATCATAAATTCATAATCCTGAAGACTGGATAATATTCCATTTGCTGAGAACTGAGAAGCAAGCTAAAATTCTTAAGTTTGAGATGAGAATCTCTGAGTGGTCAGTGCTTGAGGTTTTATACAGTAAACTCTATTGACCAGAAATGGCTTTTGTTTCTAGGAACACCTTCACAGAGCTTTCACTGAAGCAAACTTTAAGCTGGAAAGTTGATTTCCTTAGCAGCCAAGGCAAATGAGCACAGTTAGGTCAACTCACTTCCTCCACCTGGAGTTGTTAGTAATGGGTTGCTATCACAGGGATGGGTGTCTTCTGGAAGCAGGGGTGGTGTGCAAATCTTTTCCATTTTCCAGTAACCTATGGTAGTGCAAGATGAGGTTAGAGCATGGCTGCACGTTGTGGTTAATCCAAGCTTATGGAACCACAAACTGTTAATTAATGAGACATCGTCATCATTTTGAAATAAGAAATTGCCCATCACCATCCACGACATGAATGTGCCAGTGAAATCATAGAATTAAAAATATTAAAGTACAGGATAATGGGAAATATCTACAAAATTAAAAGTTATTTAATAAAGCCTAAATTTAATGAATGTCTGTGGTTAGGTCTCAGGATGCGGATTCCCAGGTTCCTAGCCCCTTTACATGACCCTCTCTCTTACCCTTGCGTTTGAGGTATTCTGCGATGAGTGCAGCTATATGGATGTAACACATAGCAGCCTATAACAAAACATAAAACAGAGATTCCACAGATGAATTTAACTCTTCACGAAACTAGTGGTTTCCCAAGGGGAGAGAGACAGTGTGCCCACTCAGGACATGTCGTGCAGATTAACCCTTCATTATGAAGGAAGTGAAACTATCAACCAAGTGGACTTTTTAAAATTGCATCTCAAATAATTGATGCTGCCACCTCTATGTCTGTCCACAATCTGATGTCTTCTAGTTAGAATCAGGTATCCACTGAGCCCTACATGAAAGTTACTGCATTGACTATATAGATGCATATTATATGCATTGGTGGAAAATATGGTACTTTTTATACTTCATGCTGTATATAAAAAGCCAATTATTCGGATAAGGAGTACAATGTTAATGAAGAATGAATGAGCCTTTGCTCATCACCTCAGACAGGTCTCCATTTCTTGCATGAATCTTGGCCATGCTTTCCAGCCAGGTCCTCCGGAGCTCAGGGGTACTGGCATAGGAGTTTGCTAGGCTGTACTGGAGGTCCACCAGCATCTCGGGGTCCTTCTCATGCTCTTTCATCTGGGCTGTGGCCATCAGCACGGTCCTTATACGTTTGGTCAGATCTTTCACCTCTGCTGGGAAATTGCTGTTCTTTGGAAAAGAGAGGACCTGAGTCATTATCTGTTTAGCAAGCAATTATTAATTTCAATCTATGCTCAAATTTTAAAAAAATATTTTATTGTTTTATGTGTGTGGGTGTTTTGTATCATTTGTTTGCCTGGTGTCCTCAGAGGCCAGCAGGAGGTATTGGATCTCTTGGATTCAGAGTTATGGACAGTTGTTAGTTGTTTGTGACTTGTAGGTTCTGTGAACTGAACTCAGGTCTTCTGGAAGAGCAGCCAATACTCCTAACCACTGAGCTATGTCTCCAGCCCCTTCAACCTATACTCTTAATTATGGCTTGGCATCATGAGTTCTTATGCAATATATATTCTATATATTGCAGTTGTGATTATATTCAAACATTTGGTGATAAGAATTATGGTGAGTCAATCCCAGGGAACCTAGACAACAATGAGGATTCTAAGAGAGACATACATGGCTCTAATCTACATGGGAAGTGGCAAAAGACAAGATCTCCTGAGTAAATTGGGAGAATGGGGACCATGGGAGAGGGTTGAAGAAGAGGGGAAGGAAGGGAGGGGAGCAAAGAAAAATATATAGCTCAATAAAATCAATAAAAAAGAATTACAGTGGTTACGGTGAACTGTACTGTCCGGTAGTCCATCTTTCTAGCAGTAGCTTCCTGATTGCCCTTGAGAGTCTGTCCTCCCTGAGTTCATGTCACTTGAACAAGTTTTGACTTCATTCCTATTGATGGCATGTGGCACTGGATGGGCCAATCATATTCTTTTTATATATAGATCAAGGATATTCCTTTTCTCGACTCAGATTGGTAGTGTTTGGAGAAGTGCTTCTCCATCCCTGACACAAGTGTCCTCACACTTTCTGAGGTAAATCCACAAAGACAGCCATAAATTTGGCAAATGAAGAAAGGCTGATGCAGTACATAGACAAAACAAGCAACAGAGGGAGGGGCTCTCAAATCACTCTCTCGATCTCTAGATCAAGCTGGGCTTGAAGCTTTGTCTACCTCTAGCCTTCCAAAAGTGCGAAAAGAATCGGGAGGAAAAGATAAATTTGCTTATGATGGCTTTGAGTAAATAATGATGCTCCTGGCACACTTCATTCTATAACAATCGAGCCCGGATCTTATAAATTCCCCTGAAAACATCATGTATGGAGAGTGTGAGAACTAATGATCAGCAATTTAAATAAGCAAACAATACCAGTGATCAAAGTCTTGATCAGATAAGCACAGAATTCATAAACATCCTATGGTTTTGATGTCAAAGAAAAACTCCACCTCCGTTTCTTTCTGATTCATCAGAGAATCAGCCCAGGAAGCATCTCTTACTTTCATCTGCTTATCTCCATTGGCAAAGTTGTTGGTGATTGCAAGAGAGTGTTGAAACCGAGATCCTCCAATCCCCGAGTCAGCTATTAACTGGCTCACGGCTTTGATGAGCTGGAAGAGAAAAGGAAAAAGGATCACTCTAATGCAGGGGTCCTCAACCTTTCTAATGCAGAGATCCTTTAACATAGTTCCTCAGGTTGTGGTGGCCCCAACCTTCAAATTACTCTCTTTGACATTTCATAAATGCAATTTTGCTACTGTTACGAATCACAATGTAAATATTTGATATGGAGGCTATCTGATATGCAACCTTTGTGAACAGGTTGTTTGACCCCCCCAAAGAGGCTGCAGCCCACTGGTTGGGAAACAATGTTCTAAAGCAGAATGAGAATTTACATTTTGTGTTTTATGGATGATGTGGGACGATGAGGGTGTGCTCGTGTGGGTGCACACATATGTGTGGAGGTCAGAGGTCAACATTGAATGCCAATCCTCAGGTGTCATCCATTTTGTTGTTTGAGGCAGGAGCTCACATGGATCTAGAGCTCACTAAGAAGGCTGGTGTAGCTGATGACTGGGGTCTTCCTGTCTCTGTCTCCTCAGTGGGGAGATTACAAGCATGTGCCATTGCACCTGGCTTCTCAGTGTGGATTTTAGGGACTGAACTCAGATCCCTAGGCTTTCTAGGCACACACTTCACAGACAGAGCCATCTCCCCAGCCTAGAAACAGCATTTTTAAGGGAGTTGATGGAGTTAGATAAATATGCCATTAATTTCTCCTCGAATTTTCAATGAATGACATCCTTAAGTATACATCCTTCAGAAGATCACATGATCTAGAGGCCTCATTATTATTGTAAATACCCAAGGAGAGATTCAAGAATCTTGTACTCTTGGTATGCCTTGAAGAAAGGCATGGTTGTCTTTGGAATTCAGCGAGATTTGGTCTCCCAGATTAACCATGACTGTCAAAGTTGTCCCCCCACTCCACCAGGAGATTCTAGTCATGGGCAGAAGAAACAAAACTGAAATCTGTTCATTTCTCTATGGTCTCATAGAAACCAGGATCAAGGGGATTGAGAACCTTTAAGGCGGAGTCTGGACACTCAGACAGTTGACTGGCTGCCTGGGAACAGGATGCTTCATTCACCACTGAAACGCATCAGCCATTTTAGCAGCAACGTTAAGGAACATGGGCAGGACTTACTTGTAAGTGAGAGCGGACAATGGACTTCTGCTTGTTAAACTCAAAGTTCTTCCTCATGAAAAAGTACAGAAGTGCCGAGGCCTCCATCTGAGTGGAGCGTGATCTGTGGTTACAGCATTTCAGGACTTCGTAGCAGAAAGAGCCACAGAGGTCAGCGGGCCCTTGAAAAAATGCTGAGGGAAACTAGAGCGATGGAAGAAGAAGGGAGTGAGCCATGTTCTTTCATGTTTCAAACTCGGGGACTAAAGTACTATTTAAAAATGAGCTTTCTCCATTCGCGGAAGAGAAAAAGAAATCTATGCTTTTATTATTGACGTCCGAGTTCAGTAACCTCCTCTCATGTATTAGTCTCTTCCACTAATGTTCCATGTGTAATAACTGACAACAACCCAAACTACATAAGATCTTTGAAATGTTCCATTATTCACTTGACACTGTTACTTCAGATGCTGTTTTTGGTCATCTTCAAAGATGGCTGCTGTAGCTACCTAGGCATGGAAACTTGAACTTGATGATCTTTTTTTTTTTTTTTAAAGTCAAACTGTTAAAAACTCTAAGCAGTCACAAAACTGATAACCAGATAGCACCAACACCGTTTTGTATCCTACTCACTTGGAGACAACAGATGACAAGCATCTAGTGAAACCGAAATAGCACAAAACAAACCTTCGGCCTTGCACACCGAGAGATGCACAATTTATTAAGTGTTTGTTGTCATCCTTAGCTGGGGTTTAACTGGGACCTGGAGCATCCTTACCTTACACACAAACAGTCTCAAAGAAGCAAACACGTGTTTCAGGGCTGTGGCTGACTGGTTGACTTGAAAGAACAGCATGTACGTATCAAAGACCCTTTTCATGAGTGAGTTTTGACAATCAGATTGTTGGAGCTGTCTCTGAAACCCAGAAGAGATGTTATTTAGGACAAGTGGAGGAATGATTTTTTTCCTTCAGAAACATGTCTCATGAACCTGTCACGTGCTAGAAGAACCTCCTGAGTAAGATGACATGGTTCACGTATCATCTCAGGGAAGTTTACACAGCATTGTCAAAGCCAAACCAAACCCAGGAAAGACAATAAGTAGAGCAAGAAGATGTGACAGAAAGAGGTTAGGGGTGGATTACTTTGCTTAAAGAGGTCAACAAAGATCCCTCCGATTGATGAGCACAGCGGAAGGAATGTGCCTCAGAGAGACCTGGGAGGATTTTTGTGGGGTAAGAGTTTTGGAATGGAGCAAAGCTTGTGAATTCAGACTGAGAAAGAAGAATGGAGTGGCTGGTGTGTGGTTAAGGGGGTCGGGCCATGGGGGAGAGGATGAGGTGGCAGGTAGGCATTGGGAAAGCCTTTCAGTTGTGTGACATTCAATGCACACATCCATTGAGGTATAGAGAATTAAAATGGGGTTGTGCTTTTCTCCCACCATATTGGCACTTTACACAGAAACAATGTTTTCTTGGTGCAATGCTGCTAGAGAGGTTTTATTGAACAGATCCAATCTTTCCTGGTGCAGTCCTTAAAGCAGATTCATTTGACTGAACTGTAAATGTTTTCAATCACATTATTAAGATACAATTGGGGTGAGAAACTCTGTATTCAGAAAGTACAATTGCATAAATTTGACTTTGGTATATACCATGAAATCATCACCACAGCCAAGAAACAAAATATCACTTCCTAAGATTTTAATACACGGTTTGGAATCCTGTATTCCTTTCTCGACTCCACATTTCCATTCCATCACTGATGTGTTCTTTCTATTTAATGACATCAACAGCACTGCAGTCTTCTCTGATTTGGCTTCTGAAGTTTCATGTGTGGTGTAGTCTTTTAGTGGTTTCTTCTTACTGTTGAGTAATATTCTATTATGTTACTAAAACATCTACCTGTTGATGCACACTTCCAGTTGTGTCTGTTTTTTTTGTTATTTAAAATAAAGATGTGGCATATATTTGCGTGCGAAACTTTACATGGATAGGTGCGACATTCAAATGGTTGGTTACAGGATAGATAAATGATTAACATTGAACCATAATTTTTTTTATTTATGTATATGTGTGTGCATGAGTACATGTGTGTGTGTGTGGATGTGTGCACAAGTTTGTGCAAGTATGTGTTTGTGTGTGGGGGCCACATGTCTGAAAGTATGTATGTAGGATAGAAGATGGCATGAGAGTCCCCGGAAGTCGTATTACAGGCAGTTGTGAGTTCCAATATGGGTGCTGGGAACTGAACTTGATTCTCAACAACTAAGCTATCTCTCTAGCTCCATCATTAGCTTTTCAAGGAACCATCATAATGTTTTCCAAATTATCTTTTTCCCCACTTGAACTCTTACTATCAGTGAATGAGAATTCTAATTTCTCTAAGCATTTGTCAAAGTGTGCTATAGCTAGTCTTATTAGCACTAAAATTTTTATCAAGTACATCATGGAAACACCTCAACAAAGTTTTATATATAAAAATAAGGAAAGATGCTTGGCATTAGCAATTTCTTCTTTCAACAATCTAGTCATCAGTTAATACATAACACTGTTGGTCTTTTGTTTTTCTGTTAGAAAAATGTGGCGTCTCATTGTCACTCTGTGCAGCATCCTTGACAGCAAAGCAAGAGGACTTGGGAAGAAAGATATTGTAGTGGTAAAACATACACAAAGTGTGAGGATTAAGCAAGCATTAGTCAACTTGTGACAAAAATCTGAGAATCTCATTTTTAACATGCTTCCCATTAATGTGCAATCTGATTTATGTGAGGTCAACTGATTTCATAAATCATCTTAAAAATATTCTTGACTTCTCATGGTTTGTCCTACTTCCAAAGTCATCATTTTACATACTTACCTGGTGGACTTGAGTGAAGAGAGACAGCAGGTCCAGGATAGTCAGGCAAACTTCTGTGGCTATATTGGCCTCAGTGTCTACATGGTGGACAATGTCTATTTCATTGGAGTTGCCTACAAAATGCAAAATAAAACAGTGCATCAACATAAGCCAATTCTCTGTGCTCGGTAGAATATTTCCTTCTATTTCAGTGTTTACTGGGATTTTGATGAATAATTCATAAAATCAAAGTGTCTTTGTTCACCTTCATTTATGTCAATTAAAAGCAAAACAAAACAAAACACTAGATAGAGTCTTAGATCTGAGGGTTCTTTGTATACATCAGCTGCAGATTTTCCATTATTTTAAAAATTCTTTTTCTTTAATTCAGATATCAGTACAATCCTATTTCTTCTGGAATCAGCCTGTTTAAAGTTCTTGCTTTTGGGCTAACAGACTAACATGTGTGATCTCAGCAGACAGTCTACACAAACAGCCTCCTCAGAAAGGTACATTTATTTATAAAGCGTACTTAGAGAGTAAGGCAATATAGATTTTAAACAAGTAATCATGGGCCACGCGCTCATAATTCCCATGTTTCACTACTCCAGGTTCTACTTTTATCTTATTGCCAAGCTAGACTGTGTGCTTCTCCGGAGTCATGATGTCATTGCCACTGTTTTTGGGACATGGGCATTTTTAACTTCTTCCCTTAGGGTTAGCAGTAATTACCTGGTTGAGAGAGAGCCCTAACCTCACAACACCAAAAGTACCCAGACAAGCTACCCACAGCCCATTACACTGAGCTTCAAGTAAAACTCTCCTTTCTTCCTGGTGAGGGCGCTGTTTTTTATTTGTTGGTTTGTTTATTTATTTATCAAGCTACCCCCTGGTGATTCTTTCTTTGAAGAAGTATTTCCAGGCCCATGGCAGACATCAGAGGAGTGACTTCAGTGTGTGGCATTTCTCCCATCTCACACACAATGCATTTCCTGTCCTGCACACAGGCTGACAGAACACAGGTAGCCATCTTGCTCCCCTTTGCCGCTGGCTTACTTACTGTTCATGGTGTTGTCCAACATCTGTAAAAGTTTGGGGTTGGAAAGTGCATTTTTGCCTCGAATTATAGGTAAGGTTTGAGATCTGTGCTGTTTATGCCCTTCGTGACCAGAAGTGGTATGCATCCTGGAACAGAGATGAGAAATGTGGCTGACACTACCCATCAATGTGGTAATCAATGGTCATTCAAATAGTGTGCACTGAGACAAATGCAGAAAACATCTGTGAAGAAGCGTTTTACTGGTAATATTGACTGCAAGCAACACAACGAAGAGACCTTTAAATACATTAGAAGATATGTATTTAAGCACTAATAATATTAAGAATGATATATAATGTGATAATGCCACAGTGGATGTCTATTCTATCGTATTTTGATTTTCTTCTTTTTTATTACCAAGAACATTCAAAAGACTCAGTCGAAAACTCTCGTCTGACCTTGTTGTCACTAACTTCATTGTATGCTCAGACAACCATAAGGTTACACAATTTTTAGGTAGATAGTACCTCAAACTGGCCTTATCTATTTGCTTTTAAGCAAATAAAGTCATGTCTGTTTTGTAAGTGAAGAGGTAGCTACAGATGTGTTAACCTCACCAAAGCAAACACACAGAACAAAACAAAAACCAAAAACTAAAAGACACTCAAAATGTTTGTAACTCATTATCATTTCATGGATTTATAATAATTTAAGAATGCTGAGTTAATTACTATATAGGCAGGAAGGCAATTAAAAATACATGCAAACATGTTCCCTTGGCTCTTTTTTCTTTCTTTCTTTCTTTTTTTTAGAAGGAAAGACAAAATCTGGATCGAAATAACTGAAGTAACCCTTTACTCTCTCGTCTGGTTTTGCATGTGGGAATTCCCACGTGGTATGATTTATTTGGGTCATGCTTCTTGCGGTGGTGATGTAGGTGGTGTGTAGGCCTTCAGTGTGTGTCTTTCAGTGCTCTGCAGAAACTAGCCAGGGCGTTTGTGCAGTTAGGAATGTTTCCTGCTTGCCACGTTTGTCCAAGGAGTAGCCAGGAGGTGGGAAATTTGCTGTCATGTAAATTACCCCTAAACAACACCTTTGTGAATGAAGAAGGCAGCCAATGAGAGAAGCCTTTAAGAGTCACACCTCAGAAGAAACTCTGGCTTTTGTCCCTGTCACTGTATTCAAGGCTGTTTGGAAGTGACTGAGCCAAAGAATCAACCTGGGTTGAAACCTAGGAGAGCCGATTTTGGCTTGCTGGGACCTAGGACATCTGATACTGCCTGCATCTACAGGGAGTAATGAGTTTTGGGATATGTGGCTGGGATGTAGGGAGACCGATCTTTCTCTCCCAGGAATCCTAGGGGTGGGAAGGGTAGGGGTATAGGGGTGGGGTGAGATGTGTGGTTTCCAAGAGATGAGGTCAGCAGGGGCAGAGCCTGTCCAGCCTATCAGGAGGAGCCTTAAGACTTGTCCACAATACATGATTGACTGGGACCCTTAGATGACTGCAGTTGCTACGAAACATGCGGAGCTTTTCTTTATTGTCTTCTCTTCCATTACAGTTCGCAAGGCAGATTCACGATTGCGTCTTTTAAATTTACTTTCTCACTGGAGGCCAATTTCAACAGGTCTCCATGGACGGGAGAAAAATTCATTTTGCTATTTATTGACTACATCCATTTTCCTATTTCTTCCCAACGCTCTTTTCTAAGATATCCACATCACATAGTCTTACAATACGCCTGGGAAGAATAAGTCAAACTCAGGAAAGTTTGGGGAAACAATTTTTTATTTGTAAGGCCCACAGGATCTTGGAGGTGGGATTTCAGGGCAGGAGATTCTGACTGGCAGGTTAATGAGGGAGCAAGCGGGCTCTGCATGTAGGAGCTAGGTAAGCTAACGAGACTTTGAGCTCACCCATGCTTCCTCCTGGCCTCTGACCCTTTAAAAAACAACGTGGGCTTCGAGAACACTAAGGAAATCTCATAATTACTCAACAGAATTGGGAGTCACGATCCCAGAGTTTCTTTTTCCTACACTGCTAAGAACTAAGGAGCATTTTTTTATTAGAGTCTTGGTTTTAGCTAAATTGAATGGCTATTATTGCTTTTCCAATCAAGGCGTGCTTTAACTGAGCATGAACAAGGCATGGTCCTTAGTTTTTGTTTTAAGTCAGCAATTCAGCTGGAGAAGTATCTAAGAAGTTTCTTCAGATAAAAGTATAATGCCACTCAAAACTGCATTTTGTTTTTATATATGTACACGTATGAGTCCATTTACCCTCATGCATGCATGTTCACAAATAAACAACACATACATGACTTTAAATACTAAGCAAAGGTGATATTACCATTGTGACAAGAGACCGGAGGTCTGGCAGGAAGGGTTGGATCCTTTCAGAGTTCCATTGTTCTGGGCAGACTGCACAAACTTAAACGCCGCAGCGATTTTTCTGGAAGGAATCACAGCTCGATATTTATAAGTTACATACAAAAACAGAGTGACAAATGACTAGCAATTATTGAACAATAAGGTATTTCATATTCTGTGAATTAATGAGAAACAAGGGGCTGGGAGATGGCTCGATTTGGCAAAGGGCTTGTTATGAAAGAAAGCATGGGGACCCTACTTTCTGAACTTCAGCACCTATGTAAATGCCTAGGAGGCATGGAAGGCCATCTGTAATCGCAGTTTCAAGATGCAGAGACTGGGGATCCATAGGCAAGCTGGCTAGCTAGCTACAATAATCATTTCATGATTATTGAAATCAATCATGAAATCATGAAGTCTGGTTTCAGTGAAGGGACCTTGACTCAGTACTTTTGGTGGACAGTTATTGAGGAGGGCACCTGATGTCAGCTTCTGATTGGATCCAAACACACAGCCCGATACCACATGCATAAGCAAGTTCTGGGACTAGGAAATCAGAGGGCTTTGAATATTCCTTGTGAAAAATAATACCAGTATGAAGTAATTCTAGACAACCTTTTGTTTTTAGCATACTGGAGGCATGTTCTCAAATAGGTGTGTTTCACCCATATAAACCTATCTCTCTGTCTGTCTATCTATCCATCCTCTATCTATTTTCTATCTATTTGTCTAGATATTTACCTATCTATCTATCTGTCTATAT